CATTCGGCTGGACCAGAACGGTCAGGGCTGCTATGTATGGTGCGTGCAGGTCTGCTTCCGTCCGAGAACATCCGCACGGCATGCCTTCAACCTGGTCGGCTTCTTCACCTACGCCTCCTCTTTAAGGTACCAGTAGACTTTCTCCTTGTGTACCAGCACGCATGGAATCCACAACGCGCGGATCTCCGGGGTGCCAACAAAACCGAAGCTCTCCTCAAGCAGCGTCGCGCGGTCTGAGCGCAGGTGGATGAGTGGCTACGGAGGATCCCCAGCAGGCACGGTTGTGTTATCATCGGGGATCTGAACATCTCACTTAGCCCAGCAGAGCATATATGTGGGCCAGGACAGCCCGGGGGAGCCACCGCTCCTCATCCGGATCAAGGCGAGGTCATGGACATACTGAGAGCCCACAAAGCATGTGCGCTCAATACATGGGGAAGGCCTGGTCTCTCCAACCGGACTTTCCTCCCGCCTCACTCCGACTCGACCAAGCTTGGCACCCAGATTGACTATGTCATTGCCAAGGGCCACATGATTGACACTGTGGCAAAACAGTCCACGGCATTCGATGCACCGTTCGTCCCAACCAGTGGCTGCAGGCATCGCCCCATCCTGGTCTCTCTGCCATCCCCCCAGAGACTCACCAGAGGCCCCATGCAGTCTCGACTCACAGCGCATCAGGTGGGCTCTGTGCTCAAGCAGCCGGGGTTCCTCGAACACCTTAAGCAGCACACTCGACAGGCCCAGAGAGACAAGGAGGTTAGTCAGCCCATTGATGACCTCTTGCTGCAAGGCTGGCGCAGTGCCAAAGCCGAACATCCGGGACAATCAAATGCAGCCGGAGACCAACCAGGTGACCAGCCGAACCTGGATCAGCCTCTCACACAGTATGTCCGGAGCATGTGGACTGTCAGACACAAACTTAGACAACTTGGACAGGACCTCGGTCGATGGAGCAGGGGGGGACCAAGTGCTCGAAGCATTCTACAGGCCTGGTTGCTCACCTCAAAGCTGCAGCGACACACAAGAGAACTCCGGAAGGCCTGCAGATGGAAAAAGACTCTTCAGGTGGCTGAGGCTGTGAAAGCCTCCAACATTCATCAAGCAGCCAAGCGATTCACGCCTAAGACTCCCAGGAGACGACTACAGCTCCGCGATGAACATGGACATCTACAAACCCACGAGGCGGAATTTGCGCAGATCACAGAATACTTCCAGTTGCTCTATGATGGCCCCTCTCTTTCCCAAAACCCCACACTCACCGAGGATCTCAACATCACGGCAGAGGAGATCATGCATGCCATGGCCCGTCTGAAACCCAACAAAGCCGTCCCATCAGTGAGTGCCCCGGCAGCCTTATGGAAACAGCTGAGCCAGGTCACGGTCCCCATTCTGGTGGCACAGTTTGCGCAGGCCTTCAGGAAGGGAGCCACGAAAGTGCCGGAAGCTTGGAGCATCAGCGAACTGATTCTCCTCCCGAAGCCGAACAAGTCTCTTCGCACCCCAGCACACCTCAGGCCAATATGCCTGCTACCGCTGCAAGCCAAGATCACGGCATCCACTCTGGCCCGACGCCTACTCCCGTTCGTGAGTGAGTACCTACGTGATCAACCCCAGTTCGCTTATGTACCAGATCGAACTTTGGCACAAGCGCTGGAAAGGGTGGC